AGGGAAGACCATGTGAAGACACACAGAGAAGTCATCTGCGAGAAAAGGATAGAGGCCTCAGAAGAATCTGACCCTGCCGACACCTTGATCTCAGACTTCTGGTCTCCAGAATTGTGAGAAAATAAATTTCTGTTGTTTAGGCCCCCAGGTCTGTGGTACCTTGTTATGACAGCAAGGAGCTGGCTAATAAGGGCACAGAGGGGAGGGTGTCCTGCATCTCCACGGAGATTGGTGATTTTTGTATCAATTAATTGCAATGTAGCGTGATACATAAGTGCAAAAATCTAAGGGTGTTATAGGGGGAGGGACGGTACAGCAGGAGAAAGAGTTATAACTCTGCCGGAGGTGTCAGGGGAGCCTCTCCAGAGGACGGATTACCCCAGCCTGGTTTGGAGATTTGAACTGAAAGGCAAGGGGATGGAGGGAATTTTCCAGGAAAATACAAAAAGGCAGGAGACTACTACGCGAGTTGGGAGGATGACAGGGATTTGCATTTGCTGCTGAGCCTCTGGTCAGGTGGTGGGGAGTCTGGAAGGTGAGCTGCACCAGGACTCAAAGCAGCCTCTGTTTGACTCAGGAGCAAGGACGTTATCCTCTGGGCACCAGAGCCACTGAAGGGTTTTTGCAAAGCAGAGGAGGGTTCTATCCCTGGTCGGGGAACTAGATCCCGCATGCATGCCGCAAGAGTTCTCATGCCTCAACTAAGAGTCTGCATGCCACAACTAAAGATCCCATGTGCCGCAACTAAGACCTGGTGCAGCCAAAATAAATAAATAAATAAATATTTAAAAAAATAAAATAAAGTGATTTACCAATCCAGGCAATGCTGATTTGGGCCAGAACCGAGGAGGTAGTTGTGGAGGTGGAGAGAGGAGGTGACAGACAGAAGACGTAGTAGAGGGAAGAATAGGGACCAGGTGCTCCCTGGCAGGAGATTAGGGAGCGGGGCAAGTCGGAATGCCTCCCAGATACGGGGCTTTCCAGGGAAGAACGCCCCACTGAGCACAGTAGGCCTAGAGGAGAAGATGAACTTGGTTTGGAGCAAACTGAGCTTGAGATGCCTGGGTGTGCTGTTGCCTATGCCCGTTAGATGCTCAGGGGATACCAGGGTTCCAGAATCCATCATTTTAGAGGCGAAAAGCCAAGGGCATGAACGTGAACGCAAGGGAGAGTTGGGAGGCAGAGATTGTGGCTGAATAGGAGTCTATCTGCAATTATGAAAAAGTACTAGAAATTGTCACAGCCAAGAGGAGCCTAAGGGAATGTGATGACTAAATGTCATGTGGGATCTTGGAACAGAAAAAGGACATTAGGTAAAAACTAAGGAAATCTGAATAAAGAATGGGCTTTAGTTTAATAATAATACGTAAATATTGATTCATTCAGTGTGGCAAATGCACCATCCTAATGTAAGATGTTAATAATTTAGAGGAAACTGGGTATGGGGGAACTCACTGTACTTTCTTTGCAACTTTTTTGTAAATCTGAAACTATTTGAAAATAAAAAGTATATTTTTAAAAAGAGTATTAGGCTTAGTAAGAACTATATTATGTTCTTAAATCAGAGGAACATAACTGCCATATTTTCTCTGATGAGCAAAGAAGCCTTTGTGTTCTCTGGTGGCTGCAGAGTACTGTCCCTTGGAGACCACCCCCAAGGTGGCACGCCTGTAAGAGCACATTCACCCGTACCTCCTTATGCAATGAGTCACGCTGTGAATCATCTCTAACAATATGCTGCTCCCCGAGTTTACCCCACCTTAAGGGCATATCAAGGTGGCAGTAATAACACACTTCACATCCAACCTAATCTTTCTTCTCGACCTGTCAATGTAGAAGTGCACCTCCTGTCAAAAAGAACCGCTTCACGTTTGAATAGATAAAGGATGCACTTGAAAACATGGGAATTATCTTATTTTATCCTGAACTGTGGTTATGATTGACATCTGGAGCAGGACATTGCTTTACTGTGTGCGACACATAGTTCCCCTGGCCCCCAGGACCTGTGTCAACCAAATACCACCCCCATACATTTCCAAGTGCACCCAGCTTCCGCCCCCTCCCTGCCCACCCCCCAAGCATAAGTAAACTAAACCCTTAGGGTTGTGATATTAGACTGGGAGGCAAGCAGTGAAAAATGTTAAAGGAATAGGAAAACAGACACTCTAGAAAGAAGTTATCTACACGTGATAAAATTGTAGAGAACTAAATAGACACACACGAATACAAGTAAAAAGGGGGGAAATCTGGAAAAGATGGGTGGATTACAGCTACATGTGAATCTATAATTATCTCAATAATATTTTCAACTTAAAAAATAACTTAAGGGCAGCCATTGTTGAATCATAAATGCTCCGACACCCCCCCCCAGACTCTCCTATACACATTCAGCAACAAAAGGTGAGCAAAGGGAATGCCCTGGCGGTCCAGTGGTTAGGACTCCGAGCTTCCACTGCAGGGGGCACGGGTTCAATCCCTGGTCAGGGAACCAAGATCCCGTATGCCACACAGTGTAGCAAAAAAAAAAAAAAAAAAAAAAAAAATGGGGAGCAAAGTTCTGGTTGTTATAGACTCAGGGAAACCAGAGTTTAAGTCTTGACTCCAACTCTCACTAGCTGTGTGACCTTGGGTAAGGTACATAACCTCTCTGAACTGCAGTTTCCTCATCTAACAAATGGGAAGCATGGTTGGAATGATTAGCTGTAACAGGTGAAGTGCCTAGCACAAGGCAGGTGCCCAATAAATAGCAGGGACCGCTACTTCTCCTTTGGTTGCAGGTTGCAGAACTTTGCCCCAAGTTCTCAGCTGCCGCTTTCTCCATGCAGCACCCTCAGCTCCTTTGCACCCTGTTTCTCCCACTGCACCTACCTAGAAAACCCTGGGCTGCACATCCAACCTGCACACGGGACATCCTGCCTTCCGACGCCAGAGCAGACACAACGCCTCTAGTGAGCAGGCCCAGCCAAGCTGAGGTTCCATATCCCGTTCGGGGCAGCGGCTGCTCACTTCCTGCTCACACCCGCACGCCCTTGTAGGGGCGGCCAGCTGCAGATCGTAAACTAGCCAGCACGTGAAAGTCAGGCGTTTTGGTACCAGAATAACCTGGAGGGCCAGGGCTGTCCTGACCTCTGCTCTCCAGGGACTGGCCTTCCAGCTCTTCTCTCTGGCTCTCACACCCGCACAAAGGTCCGACCTATTCCTGCCCACCCTGACTTAGGATATCCTGGGGTCAAGCAATGCAGGAACCAACTGGCTGATCCTCTCACCGGGCCCTGCCAGGCAGACTCCCAAGTCCCTGGCTTGCCCAGCATCTCAGGCGGGAGCCAACCACAGCCAACCTGTGGGCTTGTGGGGTAGGAGGGCAGCAGACGGGCTCAGATTCCCAGAGGAGCATGCCGCCCTCCCTGAGTATCCTGAGAGAGGGGTATGGCTGGAGTGGAAGCCTGCCGATGGGGAAATCGTGTCTGACCCTGCAAACCCACAGCTTTTCGCCTGTATTTTTTTCTTAATTTTTTTTTTTTGGCCGCATCACGCAGCATGCGGGATCTCAGTTCCCTGACCAGGGATGGAACCCGTGCCCCCTGCGCTGGAAGTGCAGAGTCTTAACCACCGGACAGCCAGGGAAGCCCCGTGCCTGTATTGTTATTATCAGTCTTCCTCCTCCAGAAATGAATCCTCACCCCTGTCAATATCAGAATGCCTCATATCCAACACTCGAGTTTAGACCTTGCTCTGTGTGTATGGGATCCTGTCCAAGGTTCCCAAGTGGAGCCTCCGGTCTAAATCCCAGTCCCCAGGACACAAACCAGCCTGGAATCCTGCTGAACAAACCCAGATGTGGGAGCCTTCATATGCACGGAACCCACACTGTGTCTGGCCCTCCGCCACTGCTGTTTGTCCTGGAGACCTGACCCCGAGTGTCCAGCCCACACATGCCCCCTCCCATTCACCCTCGTACCTCCTGTGAGCAGGTTAAACTGTACAGAACTCTCCAACCCCCTTTCATCCTATTCCCTTGAGACATGGACCAGAGCCTACACATCTCCCAAGCCCCTCCGTGGCCACCAAGAGAGCCATTCAGCCTCTCTGCCATCATTAGCAGGCCCCAAGGCCGGGGTACCATGGGCCAAGAAGGGGATTCTGCAAAGGACAGGGCCCTGGCATCACCTCCGTTACGTCTCCTCCTTTCCTCCCGGACGTGAGCATCCTTTCCCCCAACCCCTTCTATGCCCAATCTCAATGAAGACAGTCTAAACAAGAAGCCTGTCTGACTCACGGTGAACCCCCTCTTCTGGGACAACCCATTCCCGGGGCTGGGCTCTGCCATTGTTGGCCCCAGGGCACTGATCCCCTGACGGAAGCTGGGCCAGATTCTCCTGCCCAGAAACGGCACACTGGAACCAGAGGCTCGGAGACTAGGAGCGTTTGGTTCTGAGCCACCACCAGGTGAATGGCCACCCCAGAGGGCAGGACCCTGAGTTCCTGGGCTGGGACCCCAAGCCTTCTCTGATTTCCACCCAGCCCAGGTGTGGCAACTGGAGATTCTTCCTTTAAGTCAGTTCTCTGAGCCACTCTGAGGTCCTTCCAATGCATTCCTTTTTTTCCCCTTTAAACCAGCCAACTCGCAGTTCGTTGTTTGCATTCAACGGAAACAACCAACAGCCCAGAGCTCAAACAGGACTTGGACCCAAAAGTTAAATCAGAGATGAAGAGTGTTTTTACCCACATGTGTCCACTGCCCTGTTTCTCTTGGGAGGCTCTTTGGGTGCTTTGGAGCTAGGATTGGTCAGGTCATTAGACACACTGCTCCCCCTCCAAGTTTCCAGGGAAACAGCTTGCCCCAGGGGTCCTGGAGAAAGCCCGGGACACACCAGGCCCCTTCGGGTGAGCGCATCGATTTCAGGATGCCTTCTCGCCTTGATGGGTCTCCTTTCTAGATGCTGCCCTCCCCCCTGCCCAGACTCAGGGCCCCTCAAGGCTGCAGCTTACGTGCTGTTGACGTCACCCAGCTTCCCCAACAAGTCAGCCTGACTCACAACCAGGACAGAAGAGACAAACTTTATTTCTGTGAAGAAGACCCGCACTTTGGTATTTAGCATAACTAAAGGGCTAACTGTGGGGCACTGCTACCATGCTGCTAACGACCCCATTTCCCGAGTCCTGAGCCGGCCTCTTCACTCATCCACAGCCGCCTCCTGGTTTGTCTTCTCTTCCTTAACTTCTCTTCCATCTTTCAGATTTTGGCGAGCAAACTCCTCAAAAACCAAATTTTCATCCTGAAAACTAAAATACAACAAAGAACACTTTGATCATGGCATGTTCTTTGAAGCTTTCAATGAGATCTTGAGGAAAACAAGATCCTTGATCTCCCTTTTGCAACACAGGAACCGATCAAGATTTTCCTACGTGATGGAACACAGGACAATGCCATTCTCCTCATAGTTTTTCAAGTAAAATCTCTTTAACAAACAAAAATCAGAGAAAATGAAGGAACCAACAGAGTAGACATACATGCCCGGAATAACTGTGTGTGTATATGTGAATGTGTGCGCGTGTATGCGTATGTGTGCACGTGTATGCATGTGTGTGCGCGTGTATGTGTATGTGTGCGCGTGTGTGCATGTGTGTATGCATGTGTGCATGTCCTGGTACTAGAGAGCAAAAGGAAAGCCAGGCCCTGCGCCGGTATCGAGAGCATGGGGCGTGTATGGAAAGACCCAAAAAGGGGTTTGCGCTTGTCTTGTGCAGAGCTCAGCCTATCAATAACCACTGTTGTGGTTGGACTGGCCCTTGTGGTTCCTGTTACGACTGCAAGATGCCCTTCAGCAATAACCATCCAGAAACTTTTAGAAAATAAAGGTTTATTACTTACAGAACCTGGAAATTACACAGCATATACCTGGGGCCACACAGCGAGGTCGTGGGTAGCGAGGGAGAGCACACCACACAGGCCTGGGGTTCTGCCTTTACTGCGGTTGGAGGTGGGGGCCTAGGGTTTCGAGGGCTCACTCTTTATTGGTGAATTTAAAACAGAAGAGCGGGAATTTAAAGTGCAGAAAGACAAAAAACAAGTGGCTCAAATGATCTGCTATTGAAATCAACCAAACTCTAAAACAAAGGAGAGGGAGAGCCGGCCTGGCTCTGATCGAGTCCGGTGGCTGGCAATGTGTTTATTCGAGTGGATGCCTCTTTGAAGGGGATGCCTCGGCAATCAAAGCTTAAGTCAGGCACTTGCATTACAAAAAAAGAAAAAACAAAAACTGTGAGGGGTCACATTAGGGCTGGGGAGAAGGAGGTCACAGAAAGGGATAACACCAAGCAGGGCTCACCTTTTCTTGGTCTTATCTGTGAGCATGGAAGAAAGGAGAGAGAGATCTATTAGCATAAATCCTGTCTACCGGAAATTTTCTTCCTTTGTTAGGTCACTTTATAGGTGGAGGAATAAAAGGCCTAGATATATGCATTTCATGAGAATGGCGTGTAATTCCTGCTTCTTTGCCATTTCCCACTCGGAGGGCCTTTCTCCCTGCATTTTTAACCATCGCTTCCTCTAAAAGTTGCCACCACAACCTTCACCTCCCCAGACGGAATCAGCCATAACCTCGCCTCTAGGACCCTTTCCCTGATTAGCCTCAGCCCCTCTGATGTTGTGCTTCTCCTTTCTAAGCCTTTCTCCCTATGTGCCCTTTGGACCCTGTCCAGATCAGAGTCCCCAGGAGCTGTTACGACCCAGACTTCCATGGTCCGGCTCTCTAGGGGTGAGTCCTGGGACTTGACATTGAACTAGTACTCCAGTGGCTGGGGGAAGGGGGTGACTAAAGCTTGAGAACCACTCCCTGGCCCCTCAGGGAGTTTGACTTCTCTCTTAACACATTGATCTTGGGGTAGGGGGCGGGTGCGGGGAGTGGGTTAGATTTTCACATATATTTTGCAGACCCAGGGTTATTGCTAATTCTTTGTGAGGTTTTCTGCTTTTTGTTTTTTTTAATTATTTTTTCTTACTTATTTATTTGGCAGTGTTGGGTCTTTGTTGCTACACACGGGCTTTCTCTAGTTGCGGCGAGCAGGGGCTACTCTTCGTGGTGAGGCACGGGCTTCTCATTGCGGTGGCTTCTCTTGTTGCAGAGCACGGGCTCTAGAGCGCAGGCTCAGTAGTTGTGGCGCACGGGCTTAGTTGCTCCACGGCATGTGGGATCTTCCTGGACCAGGGATCAAACCTGTGTCCCCTGCAATGGCAGGCGGATTCCTAACCACCGTGCCACCAGGGAAGCCCCTTGTTTTTGTTTTTAGCTTTTTGCTGCCCACCTAGTAAAGTCCTAGTGTAATCGCCTCACCACCCACCATGGTGAGCCAGGAAGAGCTAAGTGAGGCTACACAGCTCCAGAGGGTTTGGGGGAGCTTGTGGCGGGGCTGAGCCACTGCCCTTATCTCTTGTGCCTGTCTGGAAGGCAGTACCAGGAGGGAAGTGTCTGTGTGGGCTGCTAACCACAGGGGACCTACAGAGAGGCTGATTCATCAAAATGACCCTGGGCAAGAACCATCCTGGACCCCCCCCCACCCTTGTATGTAATAAGTTCTGGTAGCATTTCTCCAGAACTTATTACATACAAATTACTTGGCCCCTGGCCCTGGCAGGGTTTCTTAACTCCAACTTATGCTTTCTCTGCTTAGCATCTACCCGTCTCAACTCGGGGCACCGGGGACCAGGCAGGTAAGATGTGAGCATGCATCTGTGAATGAAACTTGGGACTCATAAACCTCTGGAAATCAAAATTTTGAGGCCATGGGGGTGATTTGTCCCTTCTCCCCAAAATCTCACAGTATAAAAGATCATTGGTTTAGCCTTGATGTTATGATATGTTCAACATGAGGGCCATAATGACTGGAACATGAAAATGTCATACCCAGAAAAGGAATAACTCCACTTCCCCCAAGTGAAGTCATAAAGTCTGTTCACGGGGCCAGAAAATGATCTGACACAAACTATGACATCTCCTCCGGTCATAGTTTTAAAATAGCCTTTTAGAATGTCCTTGAAAGGGACCAGAATGTGTCTCAATCTCACATAGTTAAAAATAGTATTTTAACGATACAAGCATAAATGAATAAAAAAAAATATGGTTAGACTGTATTTTTCCCCCAAGGGAAGTTTTTGTCAAACTTCCAAAAGTTTTGAGTATTTGAATCTAAAATATTTGGAAGAGATACTTTGAGACAAAATAGTTTTGAGACAAAGCCAAAATGAATATGGGGCTCATTCTAATGTTTAAATGCCATTTCATTATCAACATAGAAAAGCTCTTTATAAAATATAAGAAAAAAAAAACCTGCTTGTTTATACCACTTTTACTTAAAATGTTCTTAATTACTATAACTCGGGAGGGTTCTCATCCAGACAGGTCCATTTTTCTTTCCTGCCAACTAAGCCACCTTAACACACAGAGGAGAATTTTTCCTCAGAATTTCTGAGATTGCACCTACATTATTTTTGCCGCTTCATTTATCCCCTTTAAAAGAGCTGTATTAAGATCTAATTCAAATATCATACAATTCACCTATTTACACGTACAGGCCCATGGGTTTTAGTTTGCTCACAGAGCTGTACAACCATTACTTAATTTACTTTTAACATCCATACAAGAGCCAACGGATTTACAATTCAAAGGAGCCAAGGTATTAGGAGCCGAGCCTGACGCTCTTTTCCAGCATTTTCTGTATTCTCTTCATAGCTGCCATCGCCAGAAATACTTATCATCTTCTAAATTCCTATTAATGCTTCCAAATGAAAGGCAAACGCCTCAGGCTGTCAAATTTACTTTTCACTCAAATTTTATTTAAATCTAAATCCAGGTCTGGGGACTTCCCTGGGGGTCCAGCGGTTAAGACTCCGCACTCCCAAAGCAGGTGGCCCGGGTTCGATCACCTAGTCAGGGAACTAGATCCCGCATGCATGCCGCAACTAAAAGATCCCACATGCCGCAACTAAAAGATCCCACATGCCGCAGCGAAGACCAGGCGCAGCCAGATAAATAAATTAATAAAATTTGTTTTAAAAAAAGAGAGAGTAGATCCTAAGACTTCTCATCACAAGGACAAAAACACTAAAAAAAAAAAAAAAAGAATCCATGTCTGTTCACAGCAAAGCTTCTGCTTTTAAATCATTCCTGATAAAACCAAACGAGACAACCCGCCCCCAAGCAGGGATGCTATGTCCTCCACACACTCACTGAAAGTGGACAAGCCACCTGGCCCATGACCTAGTAGCCGAGCACTCATTCCTGGGAGGGGGGACCCAGGCACTTGAAGGTGGCCTGGAACCTCGGCCACCTGGCCCTGCCTGTGCTCAGATATGCAGTCAAGGAAGACTAGCAGTGAGTACGTAATAAATCTGTGAGTGGTAAAGGACTAGAAAAAGGCAAGATAACGCGAGACTGACCTGGGTCCTCAGACTGGGGGTGCATGAGGCGGAATGGCACGTCAGCGGCCACTTCACTAGAAAGAAAGAAGGATGCAGAGCGGTGAGAACACGCACACAATTGTAAATGCACAGCCAAGAGCTGGGAGCTGGGGTTGCAGAGCTCTGTGAACGGTCCCCAGGCCCCAGCTGAAAGAGGACTCAGTGAGAGTCAAAACAAAACAAACCAGAAATCGGGAAGTGGTCAAGAAGGAATTTTAAATGTATTCCCTGGAATGTGGTCTAGAAACTCCACTTGCGAGAGGCTGAGGCAGCTAGGATTTTTAGGTCCCCCTTCCTCCTGGTTATTAGTTTCAGGGACATGATATTATGGGTAGAGAAGAGGTGAAATCCTGGAGAATAAGGATAGTTTTGAAAATATCCTTTGCAAAATGTAACTACTTTTTACGTGTTAAATCTGTGCTAAGGCCGCACACAGTCCCTCTGCAGAGAGCAGAACAGGGATGAGCAGGGTCTACCCAACTCCAGAGGCTAAAGGGCTTCGAGGCGACTTGGAATTTATATTAAAAAAGGAAGGCAACAGGGCTTCCCAGGTGGCGCAGTGGTTAAGAATCCGCCTGCCAATGCAGGGGACACGGGTTTGAGCCCTGGTCTGGGAAGAACACACATGCCACGGAGCAACTAAGCCTGTGCACCACAACTACTGAGCCCGCGTGCTACAACTACGGAAGCCCACACGCCTAGAGCCGGTGCTCTGCAACAAGAGAAGCCACCGCAGTGAGAAGCCCGTGCACCGCAACAAAGACCCAATGCAGCCGAAAATAAATAAATTAATTAATTAATTTTAAAAAAAAGAAGGCAAGGAGTCAGGAAGGGGTGGAAGGGAAATCTAGGCACAGGAAGAATGGAAAGGGGTGTGGGAAACAAGGGTTACTCCTTGTTTCACCCAGGACCCATCACCTCCCGCCCTGGGGTTACTGCTTCGGTCAAAGCACTTCTGCTGCTAAGGCGCTCCTGGCGGACCCGAATATGGCTGGGGTCTAGGAGAGAAGGCACAGCCTGGGCTCCATGTGAGGGGAGGTGATAAGAGTCAGTGAAGGAATATGTAAGGTCAGTGCCTGCCTCAGACTTGTCTTACCTGCTGCCTCTTTGTGCATGATTTAAATGGCTGCTGTCACTAATCACAATCGCCCACAGGTGGAAACAACCCAAATGTCCACCAACCAAAACGTGGTCCGTCCATACCATGGAGTATTTCCCGGCCATAAGAAGGAATGAAGTGCTGACATGTGCTACAACATGGACCTTGCAGACATGATGTCAAGGGAAGAAGCCAGCCACAAAAGGACAAATATTGCCTGATTCCATTCATATAACATGTCCAGATTAGGCAAATCTACAGAGCTAGAAAGCAGGTTAGTGGTTGCCAGGGGTGAGGGGGAGGGGAGAATGGGAGAGACGGCTAATAGGTAAGGGGGTTCCTTTTGGGATGGGAAAAGTGTACAGGAGCTAGAGAGTGGTGACAGAGGCACAACACTCTGAATGTCCCTGATGCCACTGAACTGTACACTTTTAAAAGGGTAAAATGGTAAACTTCACGTTATGTATATTTTACCCCTCCCCCCCCCCCACACACGGGCAGCTGCAAGGAGTGTGCCAGTTTTCTGAGTGTGTGTGTATGTGTGTGTCCTCGCCCAGGTGCAGGCCCAGCTACTGTCTCAGAGGAGCATCCCCAACCTCACACCTATCAGCCAAGGTCTGCAGGGTGTTAGGGGCATCATCTCCTAAGACCTCTGAGCATGACAGCCGGGAAACCAGACTTCACTGTCACTGTTTTGAAGCCCCGGTTTGTCCCCTTTGATATCTTGGAATCAAGCAGAGAATCAAGCAGAGAAGGAAGATGAAGGGGTTTACCTGGAGGTGAGGTCTCCCAGAAGGCTAGGAAACATAAAAGCAAACAGGGCTGTGGTGACTCTCCACAGTGGTAACACAACCTTACTTGCCGTTATTCAGAGGCTGGACACGTGCCCGCCATGTTCCTCACTCACGACTTTCAGGATCTTCGCACCCCTAACAGCCAACTCAGCTATTCCTCTCTACTTGTGATTTCATCTCTTTCTCAAGTGGGTTAGTTAAAAAGAGGAATTACGTAGGTTCAAGCCCTAATGTTCAAGAATAAACCTCGGTCCAGAATTTCTCTCTGGGCCACAAAGGTCACTGTGAACTACCTGCTGATCACTTACCTTGACTGCTGCACTCGACCCTGTTTTAGATCCTCTCAGAGAAGATGAAAGAAAACACTATACACTTTGAGAAACACAGCTACACACACTGTGTTAACGAAATTTGCAGAATCAACCCACGTTCTACTTTGTTGCCCCAACCAAAATTTGGGGAACTCGTCACCTACTGAGCCCTATGGAATATACCCATGGATTTGCTTTGATGGCTGAACTACCGAAGGCTGATCAAGGTAAAAGGCCAGAGCCTCTGGCAATGGAATTTGAAAAGGAAAATGAGAAGTCGAGTTTTTGCCTTCTGATAAGATTTTTAAATGGAAAGAAATTGATTTCAAAAAAGATGGGAAACCATTTCCTCAGAACTCTGAGACAGTCATGCTCTTGTATGAAAAGGAGACTCCCCAGTCCTGTGATTGCTCATTGGGGAGGAAAGGCAGGCCCTTTCCGTCATGGATGGATGCCTCCTGAGAGGCAGGTGAACCAGGATGCCCTGCGAGTTCATTTCACAGCCGCCAGTCTTTTTCAAAGTACAATCAGACGCTCAACTGACTCTCCTGTTTTATATCAGCGTCCACACGTGAGCACAGGCACACCCATTTTTGCCAAGTGGTACCAATAGTGCACGTGTTTCGTAGTCTGCTTTTCTACCTTTTCCCCCGTAATGTTATATCAGGTAGAATTGTGAAACTAGACAAATAGAATCTTTCTAAAACTCTGCTATGTAATCGATAGAATTTGTGGACTTTTCTTGCTTTCTGTCTCCCAGTCACTCAGGAATGAAACCATTCAGACTACTGATGGCCAAGATAGAGCAGGCAGAGTGCTGGAGCTGGACACTCACCCTGACACCGTGAGCTTCACCTTGATCTGGTAAGACACCAGGATCCCCATGATGGTCTTGTCTATGCCCTCCTTTATGCTGCTCAAACAGAAAAGAAAAACAGAAGAATGCAGGGAGGGGAGAAGCGGGAAGCAAAAACCGGATGAATCAACCCCACCTCTCCCCACTGCGTCATCCAGGCTCTGCTGTGTCCTCACTGTCTGGGGCGCTGGAAGGCAGCCCTGACGCTGGGTGAAAGGGGGGCTCGGGATTTGGGTTGGGCTTTGCTCTGCCATTAACTGACCCGGTGACCTTGGCTGAAGCTCTCATTCTGGTGGAACCTCAATTTCCTTATCTGTGAAATGAGTATAAATTCACCTTCCTCACAAAAGCATGGAGAGACTGGCATGTTTATAAAATACTCCATGAACCACAAAAGATCGTTACAAACGGCAGTGCGCCGCTGTGGATGTCGTGATTCCTTTGCCCTCGCGTTCACGGATCTAGGGCATCAATCTCCCTGCTCGGCCCTCTCCCAGAGCATCACAGATGTGCTTTAGAATCTAACACACCAACTGGCAAATCATCCTCAGAAAATCCTTTGACTCCCAAGATCCTGCTTTCTGCCCAATGCTCACTGACCCCGCTGTTCGTCTCGGAGCTACGGGGGCAGGGAGGGCAAACGCGAGAGCTCTTCTCGATGGCATCACCTGGAGCTGATCGCTGGGGCCTTGGAACACACAGGGGTGGAGGGGGAGATGGCAGCAAAGGGCCCGAGCCTGGGTGGCAGCTCCTACCCCAAACCCTCAGGGCTCACCAGCAGACACACCGCTGGGAATGGAAGCCCCGGAGGATGGTGAGGAGTGACAGGGCTATTTGACGTAGAAGCTTCGTTCTAGTTTTTACTAGATCTGCTGGCTCAGTTCGGCCATGGTTCTCTGAGCGGGGTCAGCATATCAGTGCTTATTTTCATTTGAATTGAACTGACCTCTGTAGCCCTCAGGACCTCCTGTTTTTACCTTTCCTGATGGAAATGCATAACCGACCTTTCCATCATTCGTGGAGCCAGCTGGGGCACTCAGTTCATATGCTCAGGGCTCTACACTAGCTAATGATAATTTTGAAGGTAATAGCTGACATTTCTGGAGCACTTACTGTGTGCCAGGCACCACATTTTACATGGACTGTCTCACATAACCCTCAAAACCTCTCTCTGAGGCGCTGTCGCTCCCACACTTTACAGACGGGAAAACTGAGGTTCTCAAGACAGCTCCCGTTATCTGCCCAGGGTGGCCCAGACAGCAAGCAGGGGAGTTGGGGCTCAGCACAAGGCCCAGAGCTGTAGCCACTGTGTCACACCAGGGGTGGGAGTGGTGTCCCTGCTTGGGGCCCCGAGCACGTGCTTGCCACCAGGCTGCGTGTGCACGCCGTGAGCCCAGGGCTGGGACGAGGAGGAGGTGTAGACCAGCGCCACTGCAGCACTGAGTCTCGGGGCTCACATGGTGCTAGAGGCAAGGTTCGTGTCCTCGTGCTTGATTTTCCCGTCCAGGGCGATGCCCTTTCTCTCGCGGTTGTTAGCCAGCAAGGGCAGCAGGGTCAGCGTCGTGGTCAAGGTGCTGTTTGGCAGCACTTTTTCCCTGCAGGAAGAAACACAGAGAGCAGATTTAGCTGACTGCTCTTACAGCCTTGAAGCCACCTTCGCCCCCACGAGACCCTGTGTGCCATCAAGCATTTTCTAGAACCCACGTTCCCTGCGACTCATGGGAAAGACAGTCCAGGTGCCTGTGCCTTTGCCTTGTGAGAAGAACGGCATTAGTGACGTCTCAAAACAGGCTGGCAGCAACGTTAGAACGTTTCTCAAGTCCCTCAGCCTGTTCTGATTGCTGAATTTCTAGAATGTCTTGTGGGGTGAAGTGAGACTGGCCCAAGAGTCAGGGACCACACCCAGTCTCCTCCTGAGGCTTCGTGAACCACGCAGTGGGCTGCAGGGCCAACTGGCCAGTGCCAGCAACAAGCCCAGGCTGGGAGTCGTCACTGTCGGGAGGTTTCAGCGTGTGCCCAGGGAGGAGGGGCGCGAGAAGGGCCGCGTCCTCCACTGTGGGCTGTTCAGACTGGGCGGCTCTGTGGGCCTGGGTGCAGCTGGGGGCAGAGCAGCGCGGTCTCCCCAGGCCGGGCAGCATCCCAGCTCACCGAACAGCATCTGAGGCTGGAGAGTTGGCTCTGCCACTCACCCACGTGCTGACCCCTGGCCTGTGCCAACAGCCGCCATGCAGCCGCCTGCCCTCTCTGACCCCAGAGCCCAGGCGAGCCGTGTCCGTGCTCCTGGCACACCCTCTGTCCTTGTGCCCAGCCAGGAGAAGGCAGGGCCCTGAAAACACTGTCCAGGAGCCAGCCTCGGGCCCTTTCCCCAGCCTGCTCTGTAACAGATGGGGAGTCCCACTGCCACCCTCGGAACGGGTCCCCTCCTCCATCTCCCTGGGGAGTTGAAGGCGGCTGTGTCTTCTCTGGCCTCCAAGTGCACACAGGAGGCTCCCGGGCATGCAGAACCCTGCTTGAGCCCAAGGTGGCCCACATCCCTGCATCTGGGCCCTGGTAGAACTTCTCTTAATGAGCTTAGTTTGGGCAGCAGAGTGACAGAAGCACAAATTACACTGGAAAGGTAGTTGTAGTAGGAAGGGGCCCCCGGGATGGGGCTTGGACGATGGCCTTTCCTGCAGCAGCCCTTGCCGAAGGCCTATGCCAAGGCCTGGGGCCAAAGTCCCACCCGGCCACTTCCCAGCGCCTTTGGGATTGGGATTGGATGGTGGGCAGCAGCTTGGGTGTCAGGTCTGACCTGGTTCCCAGGAGGCCTGCCCACCAGGGCCCCAGAAGCCCCACTTTCAATCTCCCTGCCTCCCACCCTTTTGAGTGTATCGGAGGATGGTTCCCAGTTTTCTGGGAGTCCTTGATGCAAAATGTATCCAAGAGCCGTAAAGAGGCCCAAGTAATGGGGTATAGTAGGGGAAAACTCAGCTGGGGACCAGTTTCTCCTATCATTGTTGGGTGCGTGCCAAAAGGTGAGCCAGGAAGACGCCCAGGACACAAGGATGTTCAAGGACACAGCCTAAAAGGTAGAGTAGACCCCAGGCCTGGCCCCAAGGAGACAGTCAGTGAGTTATGGTTCTTTCCTTCCTCTCTCCTCTCTAGACCTATAAGTAAACTTAGGTCAGGATCTGGTTTAAATAACAGTTTATCCTGAAGTCGCCTTTTAAATATCATGTAATGTTATCTTGCTGAATCAGCTGTCTTTCCTCACCCCGCTCCCCGAACCCTCCTTCCTTTAACCGTGATAATATTTTTTGCATACAACAATGCTTAGAAAAAACACCTTCCCAAGCAATCCTCTCTGGGGGAAGGCATAACCCCCAGAAGCCTGTGTGCCTCATGAACCTGACTGCCTAGCACAAAGCAAAACTGGTTAGATCTCTCGCTCCACCATGAAGAAGCTATCACAGGATTCCCATTTGTTTTTAATATCTTTTCTTTTTAATTTATTTGGCTGCGCTGGAACTTAGTTGCGGCACGCAGGATCTTTATTAGTGGCAGCATGTGGGATCTAGTTCCCCGACCAGGGATCAAACCCGGGCCCCCTGCACTGGGAGCACGGAGTCTTAGCCACTGGACCACCTGGGAAATCCCCCCATTTGTTTTTTACCCTAATGAAGGGAGAAAAGTCACTAACAACAAGTGGCTGAGAACTGACATATCATCCTAATCCAGTTGTCACTGGTATCAGACTTTCAAGTTATGGAGAAGATCAAAAGATAGAGAACCCTTGACTGGGCTGACAGGTCATTTGATTTTCTGCTGTGGGGGCAGAAACAGTATCAAATTCCTACCCACTTATTCAAGGATCAATAGAAAGTTCTAGACATTCCCACTGTGACGTTTCAGCCTTTATTTCTCTCCTCTCCATCATCCCTAGCTTGACCCAGCTCTCGGAATTCTTGTTAGTGAGCACACGATCAAGATGCTAACTTTCTTTTGCAGTCCTTGAAATGAGAACAGGGGAAGGAAGTGGAAGGCTGGGGAGCTAGCTGACCATTCTACTTCCGTCTTCAGCGATGACCAAAATGGGAACTTGACCAAGAAGCTGGAGCCGCCCAGGAAATAGAAACCCAACCCACTACTCACTGTGTTTCCTCCGTGGCCACCGGCTTGATGTAATAATCACTCGAGTAGAGAACCACGTTGGCCACTTGTTCCACTGCAAAGGGGGACAGGGTAGGGTGACTTGGTGCGGAGTCCTGCGTAGTGCCTTCCAGGGGACATGGTTGGTCTTCCCTAATGGCCATTTGAGTGCACCTCTCAGGCTCGGCTTTAAGGCTGAGATTTCTGTTCTGTCCTCAGGCCACTTCCATTCACCAATAACCTGCTCTGTGTCAACCCTACCCATGAGCCAGTCTCCTAAAACTGCACCTCCTGGGAGACTCATCCTCCCTGCTGAGCTCAGGGCACATCTGCGGGTATCCTTCCAAAACACACAATCTCCCGGTGTCCCAAAACTCACCATGTGCTCTCTTTCCCCAAATACACTCCCTTCCAACCTTCTCTATCTTATTCAATGAGCATCTCCTTCGGGTGTCCAAGCTAGAAACCACCTGGAGGCAGCACAGGGCTGATTTGTGGGTGTAGCATGGTGGATAGGAAGGTGGGCTCTGGGGCCAGACCACTTGGGTTCACATCCCAGCTTAGCCATCTGCTGTGGGGTAATTACTGAGCTCCTCTAAGCCTCAATTTCCCCATCAGCAAAATGAGAATGATAATTGCATCTAACTTATATGGTTGTGATGATTAAAAAGATGATTTTTAATCTCCATTAAAATCAAATTTGAGAATCAGAAAAACAATTTGTGTGAAGCACTCAGCACAGTACTCGGCCTATAGAAAGTTCTTAACATCTTGCTTCAGAAATTCAACAGCTTCTTTCAAAAATTAGGGGCTTTGATGTTAGGATTCATAAAACTTTGAGAAATAATTTAAAATCTAAGTATCAAATGATACTTTCTCAGTCCTGCTGCTTTGTGGAATACTGTATTGACACTACATACAACATGCTAAACAAATAATGCCAGGTCCTACAAAGACTTAAAGGCATCGGAACTAGACCAACATAAAAACAAATCCGTAAAGTAAGCATGTATATTAGCATCAAGAAAAATCTAGAATTTTTTAGTATGTATGCATCAAATTCCTGAGTCTTCTCTATGATGGATAAGAGGGAAAGAGGAACGTGGTATATGGCACTTAGGGTGACCAACCATCCTGGTCTGCCTGGGACTGGCCCCATTTTAGCATTGAAAGTCCTGCGTCCTTGGTCCTGGTCAACCCAGGATGGTTGGTCACCCTAACACACTGTGAGTCTAACTCTGTCTCAGCCATCGAGTGTCTGAGGGAGAAGTGAACAGAGAGGTCTCCCTCCAAGGTCATTTTATCGTGTCTTTTTTACATCACCCATATAAGACCAAGATCTAGGAGCATCCCGTGCACTTTGATGTCCTTTGAGCTGAGGAAGTGTGTAGGACCAGCAAGCGGGAGGCGCATCTCCTGAGTAGTCAGGAGGCTTGGCCATCACATCACGGTGGCAACAGTAGCAGTGACAGTAGCGATTACCACTTACAAAGCATGTCCAGTGTGATCAATCAGTACCTAACGAAACCTGGGAAGGTAGTCCGGGAACACTGCCGTGGCTGCCCGCTAAATTCCAAGAGGACGTGCACAGCTCGAGCCCACAGGGGAGCCCAGAGTTCCCAGGCCAGGAGTCCCCACTACACGGCGCAGAAAGAAAACTCCTCCCGCACTTACCCCGAGACCTGGCACAGGGGCCCCTCAAGGAAGGCGTGACAAGGAAGGACGGGAAGATGCCCTGTCGGGGATGCTGTCCCAGGACAGAAGACAACACTAAGCTGGGCACGAGGCTGCAGGAGAGGACACCTTCCTCCTCTAAGGTCCTGCCGTGTGACGACAGAGACAAACGGGCAGTTCCAAGGCCCCGGGGGGTCTTACTGACCAGAGGAGAGACCCTTGGGAAATATGACTAGATTGGGAACCTGGAAGACTCTGCTGTCCAGGTTCGAGCAGAAAGTCCTACCTAGCACTTTAATCTTCTTCACCGTCTTCTCTGTATTATTGGTCACGGTCACAGTCACAGGAATGGGTTCCCCATGGTAATAGAGCTGAAGAAGTCAGCAGATACGTCAGAAAAGGGGAAGAGAGTGTGGCCATATCTTGTTAAATTCATCTCAGTCCTTTAACTGGAATAAAAGTGGCTGAATGCCCACACTTTCAAGGAAGACAGGGTGATGGCGTCACGTTTCCTGTGGAGAAGGGTCTGGAGCGGGCTCTACCCCGTCTGTGGGAGGCTGAGGTGGATGACGGGGGCTCCGGCCCCAACGCCCAAGTCCTGAGGGTCACACAGAGTTAGCCCCGGGGGTGTTGAGTGGAATCATGAGGTTATTGGGGGCAGAATAAGTGAAATGAGGGGAAATCAGTGGGGAAGCCCAGAGGTAGAGCTTGCCCAGCAGTGACTCTGTGTGATCTAGCCCAGGTGCTCATGTCCTTACGTGCAAGGGCGCGCACGCACACACACACACACACACACACACACACAGTCTGCTGGCAATGTGTGTGCACGGCTCTTGTCGACCAGAGACGGCCTTGGCCAGTTTCATCTTTTTCGGCCGTGATTTTCACACATGACATGCTCACCCCCTCACCGTTACTGCCAAACTTAAGTTTGCAGGGAAGTAAACAATTTGTTAACACCACACCCACTGATGACACACTAGTAAAGAGGCCCCTGGGGGCAGACAGGGGGCAAAGACAGCCTGGGCTGGGGGTATGGGAAACCCTCCACCTCCAAGTTGTCGGGACCCACAGTGAGTGGAATGCAAGCCAGTTTGGTCCTATCCTAAGGGTCACGTTTACTGGCTCCAAATTATGAAAAAAGCCAGTTGTCCCCAAATGTTGGTGCTTTAACTATCGCTGCCCCCAAGACTGCCTGCAGCACACCCCCAGCAGAGGGCCTGGCAGGCTGTCCCCAGGCCGGCTCCACAATCACCTCTTTGCTGAGGGCGACGGCGAGGTGCAGGGGCTTGTCGGACATGAAGAACTGCCAGGAGGTCTCCGTTTGCGGCTGGGGACCCATCTCTCGTGGCGCATGCTGTACCTTCCGGATCAGCAAACGCACGGAGCTCCTGTGGATGAAAAGTCACTGATGGTTCCCCGGATCAGAGCCTGGGCCTCCTCAGGACGCCCTACCAGGTCCCCCTGCCCATCCCCAGGCTGGGATCCCTCAGGGATGCTGCCGATGGATGCAGGATGGACCAGTAGAGGGATCAGGTCTGGGGGGTGGGGCCTGGTGGGTGGTGTGGACCAGTCAGCTCTCCAAGGGTCTCTCTCACCCTCTGCTAGGACCCCGGCGTGGCCTCCTCTCGGGTGAAGCTGATGTGGGGATGTGTGCCTATGTGACAGGCTTCAAAACTCTCTACAGATGTGATGCCCTGTTATTGCTGTTTGGTATAAGTGTCCATAGGTGTGAATGTTGAGCATGTAGAGAAAGTGTTGAGGGCACAACTGGAAACCTTGTTCAGGAACAAGAAAAATGGGCACCAGAGCCTGAGAGTATAGGAGGAATGGAAGTCACTGCCTACTGGGCAGAGAGCTTCTGTTTGGGGCGACGACAGCATTTGGGGTACAGGTACCCTGAGGCATGGACAGCAAATAGTGGTGTAACTGATTGCACAACGTAACGAATGTACTTAATGCCACTGGATTGTACACCTGACGATGGCTAAAATGGTAAACTTCATGTTATGTACATTTTACTGCAACAAAGAAATTACAAAAGAAGAAGAAAACTAAAGAAAGAGGGGATCTGGAGGCTTTTAAGGGCTTACATGAGCCCTTGAGGTTGCCAGCTCCCCTGTCATTTTCTTTTGTTTTTTTTCCCCCCAAATGGTCAGCCATTGTCCCCCACCCCATGTGGAGATATGGTTCATCCTGACGGTCCTGACCTGGGGAGGCTCCATTACCCCGCCACAATGGCCCTGTGGGAAGATTCTGCCACTGGGACATAAAGTGAGGGGCGGTCTCTTATCCCCAGCCCTTCCCCACACACCCCTCACATATTCCCACAGCTACACTCTTACTTCTTGGGAATTTTGTCCTCTTCCGTATCTGTGCCTTGTATGGCAAAGGCTTTGACCTCGAAGTCGACCCCACAGCACTGCAGGGGCAAGAGAACAGACAGGGCTGTGGTCAGCACCTCCCTTCTGGGAGCCAGGATGGGGGTCACAGCTCCCGCAGGGGATGTTACGTGGCTACTTCTTTTTCTGTCTTGGCCGTATCCTTTTCGGAGTTGCACCATTATGACTAGCTTTGGAAGTGTGCTAGTGATGAAACAGTGGCATTAGCTCGAGGAGAGTGCCACGGGCTCCAAGGCCCCAGTGAAGGTCCCCCAGCCTGCAGGATGAGCCCCGCCAGTAGCTGCAGAGCACGGTCCTAGCCTCTCACCACCTTGCACGGCGGCCAGCCCATCCCCCATTTAGTTGTCCTTCTCAGAAGTGACCCTGTGTGCGTGTAACTGATGGTCCACTGCCTACAGCAGGGGCGGGAGCAGTGGTCACAGGGCTGGCAGGGGTCCGTGGACGCCTGTGCTGGGGCTCCAGTGCCCCACGCCAGCGGGCAGCTGCTATGCAGCTGCAGCCAGGCGTGGCCAGGCTGCCACGGGGACCCGGTGCTGGCAGCTCTCCCAACTTTTGAAAAGAAGCTGGAAATAGAATTTGGAATGAAGGTTCCTGATTTTTAAATTAACTAGATTAAAAAATGTTGCATGGGTGGAACAAATGCATCTGCGGGCCCCTTCGGCCCCCAGCCCCAGAGTGAATCCCCCGTGACCTCGCTCCTCTGTTGTGTTAACACGAGGTGGACGGGGCAGGGGTGAGGGCACAGAGGCCGGGGATGGGCCCTCCACCAGCTGCCCACAGAGTGACAGTAGCGTATAAGCCACAGTCTTACTGGCTCTGCAAAACTGTGGAATCGCAACAACTCTAAAACCTGGGTTGAAAATAAATACACATCGTTACGCTCCAGCACCTGGAGCTCTTAGCCACGCCTCCTCTCTGCTCAGCCCCCTCCACCCCCACCTCCTGCTGCCCCCTGCACAAGCCAAGCCCTTCCACCTGTCTACCCTGGGCGCGTGCTGTTCCTTCCTTCTGAAATGCTTGACGCCTCTCTCTCCTTTTATACTAGCCCAGCTCCCAGGCCTCCTCATCTGTGAGGCCCCCAGGGCCCCTGCTGCACTGATGTCTCCTCCCCGGGGACAGAGGGAAGGGTGGCCCTCTGGCTGGTATAGTGTCCCCCACTCTGATTGAGTGGCCTTCTCCACCTTCCCGCCCACACCCCCGTTTTCCTGGCCCGGTGGCTTTCAAAGGTTTCAGGCCACCGCCCACGGTAAGTAGGAAAGTTCACTGCGAGGCCCAGTAAACAGATGCTCACGTGTGAAGCAATGCTCATGAACTAGCGCTTATCTACGCTGTGTGCGACGTGCTCTGAGCTCCCATGCTGTTCCACTTCATGCCATTCCATTTTCTTTCTTCAATGCCATCTCGGATCCACCTCACCGGTTTCACAAACCACTAATGGGGTAGGACGCCCAAGTCGAAAATCATGGCCCTGGACCCTCGGTAATCCAGGTACCGATCTGCCATTCTCAGCCCTCATTTGCTGTCTTTTTATTTTCCAGCTTCTTCCCTCGTGACTCCCTCAGGCCTGTAGTCCCTGGATCCCAGCACCTTTTCCTCTCTCCTCGTGTCCGCACTGCCCTCCCTCCCTGCCTAGAGTCCCCAGTCCACCAGGGTCACAGCTCTCTTGCACACAAGGCCCCTTTGCTTCTCGCCTTTCAGAGCTCAACCCCACTCTTAGCTCAGTGGCCAGAGGGATCCTCTACAAACCCAAGTCAGAACCTTCTGTGTGTGGGGGGGGAGGGATAAATCGGGAGATTGGGACTGACATATACACACTACTATATATAAAATAGGTAACTAATAAGGACCTGCTGTACAGCACAGGCAACTCTACTCAGTACTCTGTAATGGATGTATGTATATGGATAACTGATTCACTTTGCAGTACAACAGAAACTAACATGTTGTAAATCAGCGATATTCCAATAAAAATTAAAAAAAAAAAAAAAAAAACCACTGTGCAGAGCCCGCCAGCGGCTCCCATCTCGCTCAGAGAAAGTCCCAGTCCATGCAACGTGTACGAGGCCCTTCCTGACCTGGCCGCACCTCCCGCCCCTCTCAGACCTGCCCCCACCCTTCACCCCAGCCCCGCCTGCTCTCCAAGCAGCACCCACTGTGCATGGTGCGCCCGCCCACCTGGATGGCTCTCCCGAGGCTGGAGTGGCCCCTCCTTTGCCCCATCAGAGAGGCCTTCCCTAAGCTCCCCGGGCAAGCACCACCAGGTCCTCCCTTAGCTCTCCGAGCCTCTTGTTCTCCATGGATGGGCCGCATAGGGACTTGCTATTTGGTTTTCGTCTGTTTCTCTCCCCAAGTGAGACCCACGAGGGGAGAGACCTACTATTTCACTCACAGGGCTGCTCATGGTTAGGAATTGCTGAAGACAAGTGATACGCTCATTATACTGTCTCTCTACTTTTGCATATGTCTGCAATTTCCCACAGTAAAAGCCCGTGCGCCACAACTACTGAGGCCACGTGCCACAACTACTGAGCCTGTGTGCCACAGCTACTGAAGCCTGTGCACCTAGATCCCGTGCTCCACAACAAGAGAAGCCACCTCAATGAGAAGCCCGCACACTCCAATGAAGAGTAGACCCCGCTCGCCACGACTAGAGAAAGCCTGCGTGCAGCAACGAAGACCCAACGCAGCCAAAAAAAAAAGAAAGAAAAAGTCTTTTGAAGTAATGAATGAATCCCTGGCATTTCTTCTGGAACCAACCTTGTCCACATCTTGTGGAGCTGGCTGCAGCATCACCGAACAGGGCAAGTAGTCAGGAAACTGTGGAAAGAAACAACAGATCATTTCTTTCAGAGAATGTTATTCCACGTGTGTTCTACCTTCATCGCACAAAAATTGAAGAATGGGGGCTTCCCTGGTGGCACAGTGGTTGAGAGTCCGTCTGCCGATGCAGGGGACACGGGTTCGTGCCCCGGTCCGGGAAGATCCCACATGCCGCAGAGCGGCTGGGCCCGTGAGCCATGGCCGCTGAGCCTGCGCGTCCGGAGCCTGTGCTCCGCAACGGGAGAGACCATAGCAGTGAGAGGCCCGCGTACCACAAAAAACAAAACAAACAAACAAAAAAAATTGAAGAATGAAGATGAGGAGCAAGAAAAAGGGAAACATCTTCACGTCTGTTCCCAACAGCCGGAGTGGCGTGAACACAGCCTCCTGAGGGTCCCATGTCAGCCTCACACAAACACGTATGTGCCTGTCTAGTTTTACAGAAATGAGACAAGTGATGCACGTGTCCTGCAGTCTAGTTTGCTCCCATCACTGCTCCTAACCCTGCTCAGGGTGAGTGTGACCATTTTCAATGCTGGGAGATGTAGTTCTGCGCCACCATTTTTAAGGCTCCCGTAACACTGCTTTTTATTTTTTTTGGCCCTGCCGCATGGCTTGCTGGGATCTTAGTTCCCCAACCAGGGACTGAACCTGGGCCCTTGGCAGTGAGAGTGCAGAGTCCTAAACACTGGAGCACCAGGGAATTCCCCTGTGACACCACATTGAATTCAGCCCGTTTCCTTTGTTGGCTGCCCTCCATCAAGTGGCCTTTACTTTGTTGCCATTGTCACCAAGGCTGCATAAACATCCTTCAGCCACCTTAGCACAGTTTTAGTCCATTCACTCCATAGGCTACACTATTAGAAAGGGAACAGTCAGGTCGAAATCACATTTTTAAGGTTTTGATATATGTTGACATGTTATCTCCAAAAGGTTCTGTCACTTCAAACTCCCAGTCCCAGCACATGGAAGCACCCAGGACCACAAAACTTTAAGTGATTTTTTTTAAAGCTGTTATAAAATATACCTAACATAGGGACTTCCCTGGTGGTCCAGTGGTTAAGACTCCATGCTCCCAATGCAGGGGGCACAGGTTCCATCCCTGGTCAGGGAACTAAGATCCTGCATCCCACATGTTGCATAGCATGGCCAAAAAAAAAAAAAACTATATATATATATATATATATATATATATCCATCCCTAAATAAAACTTACTATTTTAAGTGTACAGTTCAGTGGCATTGAGCACATTCCCATTGTCCTGCAATGATTCCCCACCACCCATTTCCAGAACTTTTTCATCATCCCCAACGGAAGCTCTATACCCTTAAACATTCATCCAATTCCATCCTCCCCCGTTCCCTGGAGGCCACCATTCTACTTCCTGTCTCTACGAACTCCTCTGGGTCCCTCATATAAGTGAAATCACAGAGTATTTGTCCTTATGTGGCTGGCTTATTTCACTTAGCATAATGTTTTCAAGGTTCATTCATGTTGTAGCTTGTGTCAGAATTTCCTGCCTTTTTAAGCCTGAACCATATAACTTTGGAGGAATATATAATCTTAAGACCCATAAACACGTGAGTGAAGAGGGTGACAGCAGCTACCCCGACAGTGAGCTCAGGCCCAAGTCTTCAGAGGCAGGAATGCTGGCCCCGTGGTAGCCAGGTTCCATCAGGGGAGACTCAGGCCACGAGAGGGGCGAAGGGCTTTCTCTACAGTGACCCACCGAGCTCTGGTCAAGGCTACAGAGGATGACTCATTTCACTAAGATCTCCTGTCTGGCAGGGAACTCTTTCCTGCTTAGAAACTCCTCGAGGCAACCGAGGGGCACGTCTTTCTTTTTATAGCCGAGCAAGTGAAGGCATAACATGCACATATAATTAGGTGGTCGGATGCAGGGAAATATTTAAACCGTAGGTTGAAACGGTGCCTTCAAAGGCCGGGAGGCTGTTTTCAAGGACTTAAAAAAAGACAATCACAGCCCGTGCAATCTAGAATTTCCTCCAAGGGTGCAATTTGCAGGCCCGCAAATGTGAAGTCATTACTCTGGCCCCTTGCCTTCGCTGCTGATCCCATCATAAGGTGTTGTGGGTGAAGGAAGCAGTGCGAGGAAGTGGAGGGTCGAGTCGTCACCCACCTTGAGCAGGAAGGGGTACGTGTGCTCCCCTAGCTTCTTGATCAGGCTCTCCTGTAGCTTCGTGAGGGTTTCCGAGGCCCCCACAGGAGGGAACAGCTGGACCTGGGAGAAGTACAGGTCCCTGCGGAACTTCAGGCCGATCACATCGATGTCTTCCTGGCCGTACCGGAAGGCGCAGGTCAGAGAGACGTACACTGGAAGGGAGACAAGAGGGGGTAGGCTTGCCCCGTTGGCAGGCTTGGCACCCCTGCCTGGGCTGACACTGCCTACCAGTCTCAACATCCCACCTTCAGCATCTCAGTAACGACCTGAGAACCTTACTACCCAGCTGGCCCTTCCCTCTGGCTTGCGTCAATTACTCGAAAGGGCCAGTGTCTGAGTGCTGGGAGGCTCCTCCCATGAGCCACATTATTTAGCCTCCTGCCTCTACTGTTTCCCTCATTCTCCCACCCCCTCCTCTTGATGTACCAGTTCAGTGAGCTCAGGAGGCTTTTAAACAGTGTGAGGTTGCTTGGGTTCTGAGGGCGGAAGATCTGGATGGAGTTGAGAGCGAAGGTAAGAAGCAGAGGAAGGGCTTCCCTGGTGGCGCAGTGGTTAAGAATCTGCCTGCCAGTGCAGGGGACACAGGTTTGAGCCCTGGTCCGGGAAGATCCCACATGCCGTGGAGCAACTAAGCCCGTGCGCCACAACTACTGGGCCTGCACTCTAGAGCCCACGAGCCACAACTACTGAAGACTGTGCGCCTAGAGCCTGTGCCCTGAAACAAGAGAAGCCACTGCAGTGAGAAGCCCACGCACCACAACGAAGAGCAGCCCCCACTCGTGGCAACTAGAGAGAAAGCCTGTGCACAGCAACAAAGACCCAACACAGCCCAAAATAAATAAATAAATTTATTTAAAAAAAAAGAAAAGCAGAGGGAAACCGTGCTAGAGAACAAAACAGACGAGTGCCTGAGCTAGACGGGGCCTCGAGGGAACTGAGCAGGGGCTCAGGGACCAGGTGGAGAGGTGAAACCAACTCCGAGAGGAAGCCTTCTTTTCACACTGCTCAGAAACTTAATTGAGCTTTCTCTAAATCAATCAGCGCTTCTGAAAATTCACTGTGGTTAAACAGATGTAAATTGTGCCCCCAGCGGACCAAAAGAATTATATGAAACTACACATGTTTCGAGGATGGACTGTTTACAACTGTCCTTAATGTGGTAAATAAAACCACACGAAGTGGTCCCCCCAAGTCCTTGGTAGCTGTTGGTTGAGGATTTTGTCTGTGTCTGCCTCAAGAGTAATTGTCCCTCGGCGCTAAGCTCAGAAGAGCCACTGATCATTTGCTTATCCCTCATTCAACGTTTGTAAGAGGAAGGTGCCCAGAGATGACCTGGTTTTATGCCTCCCTCTCCAGGCAGCGCGTTCCTGGCCAAGGGCATGGGCTTTAGGGGCTGGAACTGGGCTCCGCCTGGTGTAAGAGAGGAGCAGAGTACCCAGGAGGAAGCTGGAGACAGCAGAGGGGGGCGATTTTCAGCCTGTTTCTGCCACGTCCCCTGGATGCTGTGGGCCCTACATCTGACATACTCCATGGGCACGTCCAGGGTTAGGAACAATTCCTTGTTGGGTGCTGGTAGCTACCACTCTAAAAGGCATATTTAGAATGGAACTGAGTCAGTGACATTATCATAAGGATAACTTGGTTCCAATTTAGTTTACACGACTGGTTTTTGTTTGTTTGTTTTTGACATGCCACATGGCACGGCTTATGGGATTTTAGTTCCCCGACGAGGGATCAAACCCAGGGCCCCGGCAATGAGAGCACCGAGTCCTAACCACTCGACCGCCAGGGAACTCCCTACACAACTGTTATTAGTACCAAATTGCTTGCCACACATCGCAACTGCCAGGTATCTTTGAGGGGGCTGCGCTGCCGTGGTCCAGAATACCAGGCTCAGCATAAAAACCCTGCCTTCCCGCAGCCTCAATTCCCCGCTTTTCGTATAAACCCAGAAAGGAGCCCTCTTGAGTCTGCCCTGACATAGAACGGCAGGACACGGGGCAAGCAGGCAGTCCGTGGAGCCTGCAGACCGGGGCTCCGGGCTCTGTCTGCCGTTCCTTATCCTGCCACCTCCGACAAGTGGCTTCCCCGAGTCTTCACCTCCGTCTGGAAGATGCGGACAGTGAGCTCTGGTGGGAACAGGGCCCGTGTCCTGAGGATCGTATGAGGGAATGTGGGTGCAAGGGCCTGGCAGAGAGAATGGGTGTGCCAGAGCTTCCCCGCCCCTCCTTGCACACACACGCCCCCTTCCCGCAGCCAGACCACCGCTCCCCGGAGGACGACGAGCTCTGCCTCACCTCTCTTTCCCTTCACAAGCTCAGGATCCACCAGCACGACACCATCTAAACCAAAAGAGAGAGAAGAGTGAGGGTGGCGGACGTGAAAGAGACTGGAAGCTTCTTGAAGTGTGTGTGTATACATATATATATCACACGTAATCCATGTTCATTACAGGAAAACTAGAAAGGGAAGCTAAGCAAAGAGAAAACAAAGTCACCTCCACTTGAGATACCCAGAGATACCCATTGTCAACATATCGGTACAGAATGATTTTCCAGATGTATATACATTTTTTTAAATATTCTTTTTTTAATGTATATTTTTATTTTTTTGACTGTGTTGGGTCTTCGTTTCTGTGTAAGGGCTTTCTCTAGTTGTGGCAAGTGGTGGCCACTCTTCATCACGGTGCGTGAGCCTCTCACTATCGCGGCCTCTCTTGTTGCGGAGCACAGGCTCCAGACGCGCAGGCTCAGTAGTCGTGGCGCACGGGCTTAACTGCTCCGTGGCGTGTGGGATCTCCCCAGACCAGGGCTCGAACCCATGTCCCCTGCATTGGCAGACAGATTCTCAACCACTGGGCCACCAGGGAAGCCCTCCAGATGTATATACATTTATATGAATGTTTTTTTATATATATATATTGTTAACTGCTTTCCTCATTCAACTATATATTGCAAACACATATTCATACTATTCATACATACACACACATATAATATGTACTAATCTTTTTTAAAAATTTTATTTATTGATTGATTTTTGGCTGCGTTGGGTCTTCATTGCTGTGCACGGGCTTTCTCTAGTTGCGGCAAGCGGGGGCTATACTTCATTGCGGTGCGTGGGCTTCTTATTGCTGTGGCTTCTCTTGTTGCGGAGCACGGGCTCTAGGCGCGTGGGCTTCAGTAGTTACAGCACGTGGGCTCAGTAGTTGTGGCTCATGGGCTCTAGAGCGCAGGCTCAGTGTTTGTGGCACACGGGCTTAGTCGCTCCGTGGCATGTGGGATCTTCCCGAACCAGGGATCGAACCTGTGTCCCCTGCATTGGCAGGCGGATTCTTAACCACTGCGCCACCAGGGAAGTCCCATGTACGAATCATTTTAATGGCCACACATTTGCTCCATTGACCAGGTGCACCATAAATTATTTAATCAACCCCCTGTTGTTAGGGCATTTAGGATGTTTCTGATTTTCCCCATTATAATTAATATTGCAATGAACACTCTTATAGATAAATCTCTATCCACAGCAGAATTGAATTTGGCTTTCGATAACATACTGCCAAATGACCTTCTAGAAAGTGTTTTGCCAAAGGACATTCTCATCCTAGTGCCTAAAAATGCCAGTCTTTTACACTCTTTTTTTAAAAAAAGAACAATTTGAGTTGAAGTAATTATAGGTTCACAGGAATTTACAAAGATAGTACAGAGAGGTTCCCAGGTATCCTTTATCCAGTTTCTTCCAATGGTTACATCTTAGATAATGACAGTACAATCTCAAAACTAGGAGGTTGACGTGGGCACAATGTGTGTATGGTTCTAAGTCATATTATCAAATGGAGATTTGTGTAACCACCACTGCAATCTGGATACAGAACTGTTCCCTCACCACAGAGATCTCCCTCTTGGGCTATCCCTTTGTAGTCACGCCCAGCTGCCTCTCCCCACCATCCTTAGCCCTCAGCAACCACTGTTCAGTTTTCCTTTTCTATAACGTTGTCATGTCTAAGATGTTATATAAATGGAATCATACAGTATATGGCCTCTTGAGATTGGCTTTTTCCACTCATTACAGTGTCCTTGAGACCCACAAGCTGTTGCATGGATTGGTAGTTCAATCTTGAGACCCACAGGCTGTTGCATGGATT